AGAAGGGGCATTGGTTGCGAAGCTGCCTTATTTACCTGGAAGTTCACTAGGATGGTAAAAGTCAAAATTTTGACTATGCTTCAGGTAAAGTCCACTATCTAACTCTATTAAGTTCCTATTTGGAGATTCTTATTACATGATGTGACTAGGTCGCATCCTAATGTTTTGTAGAATCGAAGAAATGAAAGGGAATTTAAAGGAAGAGTAAGCTGATTCTGATCGCGAAGATGGATTTCGATCGCATGATTCGAAGATCAAAATTTTGAGCTGCTGCTTAAGAGTTATGATAAATTGCTTAGGAATAGATAACAATATAGTTTTCATTTGTATTTGCATTGTAAGGATAAGTTTTCTGCAAATTTTATAAAGAAAAGTTTTTATTTATTTTAAGTATCCTTACAATGGAATTTGTGAAACTTGTTGTTTATATGATTCCATTGATAGCAATATTGGAAAATGGTTTTGATTCTTTTGTTTGTGGTAGTGTCATAATTTACCAAATAAGGAAAGATTTTCATCACCCAAGTTTCAGTTGGATAGAAACTTGGAATCATGCAACTTGTATTGTATGATGAATGAGAATTTTCATCTTTGGGAAATTAAGACTAATTCCGTGTTCACATGTATATGTGAGTCAAGTGAAGGACTAGGAGATTGGGTACACTTGGTTGTGCGCTGATCAGGTCCACAAAGAACGATAAGGTTATTCGTCGTGATTTACTAACGTTTAGTAAATATGGTTATGCTTACAAATTTAAATATAATTCTGAAACATTGGAAAAGTTTCAATGTATGGCAGGACGAATGGGAAGAATCAAATTAGGCAGAAAGATAAAAGTTTCTCCAATCTGAAAAGATGGGAAAGTACTTCAGCATCATGTTTTATGATCATCTTAATGATTAGCAAAAACCATATCACAATCGATCCTCTAAGGACATCTTAGTGCAATTGTTTGACTAAGAAGAGGAATCGTGAATTGTTGAGATGGTTAAATCAAAAGATAAATCATACTTCGTTCCAAAATTAAGTCTTAGAGTAATACTCCAAGATTGTAACTCGAGTGACATAATCTTAAGAAAGGTTTAAAACACTTATCAAACGTAGAGTAAAATGTTTTCTACTCTTGTACATTTGAAATTGGTAAGTTGTGATGTCTTGGATAAGACAAAGAACAACTAAGGCCAATTGTGTGAAGTGTTTGTCTTGATAAGAATTCGCACTAACTCTTGAATATTTGCTTTGTCAAGGAATGGTTCTTGACAAGAGAATCTTATATGTCAAGAGGTCAGTGGGAGTCTTAAAGATCTTAAAAACTCTCAAGAACTAATCAAGGGTATTGTTTATCACTAACACACGACTTGAGGTTTATAATCTATCATGTTTACATATTCTTGTTTCTGTGCCCATTCCAGTTAAAGTTGACTATACATGTGAGTTCTATGAGTTCTTAGTTGTTTGCATAACTACTTGGAAGCAATGGTAGGCCCTTGTGCTGCCAGGAGGCAAGAAGTTAAGATTGAACAAGTTCAGTCCATATGAGTTTGGATTTGTCTTTAACCTTATCTTGTGATTATGGTTATGACAGATTCACTTGGATAGGAACATATACACCATAAAATCTAAGTGTCATAAGGTTTCTCTCCGATTGATGAAAATGATGGTAAGGAAACGCTTTCACTAAGTAGATTTTAAGTAGATAGCAATTGTGATATTTGCAATCTCAAAGTCGTTAGTGGAGTGTGTGTGGTTAACCGACACACTAACATGGACTAGTGAGAATGGCAAAAGGTCTAAACGTTATGATTACGTCATCCCTCTTCGTAAGTGTTTAGACACACATGTGGGCTATCTAAGGAACGGTGTATGATTTTGATAAAGTCTTATCAAAGCATCTCGTATCAGAAATCTGAACTTTGGTAAGAAAGTCAATTAGTATTGATTTCTAGAAGTCCAGCTGATTTCTGGATACATGTCAAAGCTAGTGGGAGCATAAGTGTTATGCTAATAATTATCATGTTAGTGGGAGCATGACTATTATGTTAGGTGTTGCAAGTTAGAAATGTTAATTATAGAAAACAAAAGTGTCAATTTGCAAAGTTGCAGGGTTTGGAAAGTGGTTTTGCTATAATTAAGGGAGAGGAAATTATACTTCATTCCAATTCTAAAAGCTTAGATTGTGAGTCTTTAATCAAATTTAGTCATGATTACATTATTTGCGTTCTAAAATTCGATTATGATTACGACATCCCTTTTCATAATCTGAATTATGAGAACATGGCAAATAGAAATAGAAATATTATAGCAAAAGACTGGTCTAGTATCGTTTCATTATGTGAGACATCATGAATCGTGTCCCATATGCTTCGGATATAGGATCTATTACATGTGCTGTAATATTCATCTGTTCTAATTTTTCCAAATGCCTAGGGCATTAAGAGGGAAAAGGACTAGAATTGGATATGGCTAAAATGATTAAGCAATTGTCGAGGACAATCTGAGGTTTACCAAAGATTGGTTACTCATGGATAGTTGGAAGTATGGTGTAAATTTTAGAAGGACCATATTGACATATTCTGAAAAGAGGCAACTCTTGTTCAGAAATGATAGTCAAAATGGGAATATGGAAATGTTTCCATAAGTGGAAGTTATTCGTTAAATATGTGTAAGATTAGAAAACTTAATGCAAGAAGGATGTTCAAAGGAATGTACTTTGAATATGAGACTTCGTTTCCATGGAATTTCTCTCCATTGGAATACTTTGTAATGTCTGTTGCCAAGTCTTTGTGACTTTTGTGCATAGTCATTACAAGAGGATCAATGCATGTAAGTTTAAAATCTAACAGATTTCGGTAAGTGGCAAGAATTTTGTATTCTTACATTTACGATAAGGATTTGGAATTGTGAAATGAGCGTCATTGAAATGTTGTCAATTGATCTATTCCACAAACAAAGGACCATAGGTAAACATAGCGTGCATGATTGGAGCATGGGACAACTATTGTTTTGATTCAAGTATCAAGTTGATTATTCGAAACATTATACAATGAATAATGAGTAATCAATATGGTGTTTAAATAAAAGGTGTTTTATTTACTCTCACAAGTATTGGGGCCATATAGGATTAGTATTATTCTTGTGTTTCACTTTGAATATTTTGACTTCCCGAATAAGTAGGATATTTAAACCATCCACAGCCGATCATACTTTAGAAGTAGGTATTGAGGCAAGACTGTCATGAATGGGTCTGTAGCATGTCTAGATGTTTTAGACATAGCTGCAGTAAACATGAGTGCTCTTGGAATAAGATTCGAGTATTGGATTAAACCCACGATAATTTGAATCACTTCATGGATTTTATCACGAGTGATCATGAGACGATAATATTTTATATTCTTCAAACGGAGAGATATGAGTTGCAATCTACAAGTCGGTTCCACATTGATAATGTGAAAACGCACCAGTAACTTGGTGTTATAAAACACATTGTTGTGTGTGATTTTATGAGTAAATAGAGCAAGCATATGAGTCGAAGTTTATCCATTCCTTTTACCCTTGGAGGGATAAAAGCGATATCTGTGGGCCCCTCGATGATTTAGTGAGGACAAACGTAAGTGGTCGGCCGGACTTAGACTGATTTGATTTGTTCAATTAGTCAGTCGTCATAAATTGGAAATCGGGAAACAACAGATGGACAGAGAGAATGATTATAATCCATGTCTCAGTCCATATGATATCTAGAATGGAGGAATATATGATCCCTTATCTAATGGACATGTCATTGACTAGGTCAGAGTTCGACATCGGCTTTTAAGAGCTACGATTGCTAGTCGGGATTTTGGATTCGTACTTGCAATAATTGTTTTAGACTTATCCAAATGGGAGACTGTTGGATTAGATGTCTAAGACCATAACTATTACTGGTATGTACTCAACCCGAGAGTAGCATGGTCCATTTGAGTTGCATATCATCAGGACAATTTGTTAGGATGGACTCTTGAGAGAAAGGTTATATATGATTTATTAATATATTATAAGTTATAATATATTAATATGAAATCATATGTTTTGTTAGTATTGATCAATAATTAATTTGGAATTAATTTAGTGATCAAAAGAGACTAATTAAATCTATGGGGACTAATTATGATAATTAGTTATATTTATATGTGTTGGGCTTATGATCCATGTTGGACCAAGTTTATGTATGGATACATAAAGAGTTGTGCCACATGAACCATGGATCATAAACCCATGGGTATGGACTTGGGTTATACCCATGACCCTTGAAATCCAACATATAAATACATGCTCTTAACCTAAAAACGCCTACATGCTTGTTCTTGGAGTTCATGGGTGTTTTGTGGGTGCATGGAATTCTCTCTCAAGTTCCACCTTTGTCCATGCACTACTAGAAAACAGCCCTTTAATGACGCGCAAACAATGACACGCAGTGATTTACGATACGGAAAAGCGTGCACCCTAAAAATAATGTCATCTCTTCTAAAATTTGAAGGATAGAGGACACGCATTTGTGTGTGCCCTGAAATTTACGTCATAGAAAATAAAAACACGGAGGGCGCCTTTCGTAATATGTGTGTTGTGTAAGGACGTCGCTTTATATTTTTTTTTAATAACGCGCGTTCATTAATTTCTCCTGATAAGCAACTAGGGCTTTTTTTCACATTAATTCTACACAAAATCTCTGAATTCTACCCCAAAAATTTATGTAATATCTGCTAATCTGAATCGTGAAACCTCTTGGGAACAACAGCGGAAGCGAACAGATGGCCCTTCGTTAGATGATTCGTGCATCCGTTTTACATAAAGCCTATACTTCTGTAAATGACTGGCAACGTTCTCTCTGGTCAATCCTTCAACGTTCATCATCTGCATAATCATTTTAGGAACAACGTTCTTCACTCCTAAATTCCCAACAACCTCCACAAATCGCTTGTGCAGTTGAGGAGTCCAAACCAAACGAATACTTTTCAACAACGTTATGGAAGAATCATCGGCTCGAAAAGTGGAGTCAGCTTCCCCTCCAGCTCCACCGCTAGCACTGCCGCTATCAACTCTCCGTAATCTCCTCGAATCGGAATTGTCTTGAGTCAGATCGACGGTGTCCTCGCCTTCCACAAACGTATTGAGTCAGATCGACGTTCGGCAACCCGGCCTCCCACTCTGAAACTCGGTCTTCGTCATCTCCACCGCTGACATCGAAGTCGGTAATTCTGATTTCCTCTCCCATAGCAATAAATTGGTAAGTAAGTTGAACCGATTTCAACGAATTAAACACCCTGGATCACAATTTTGGAGTAGGATTCAGAGATTGGAGAAATTTAGGGTTCAAGAAGACTCTTGAAAGCTCCTAAAAGACTGCAAAACAGGTAATTAAATCGACTTGTTGGCTACTTCATTTATTTTCCCTAATTAAATTCTCAATCTTTTGTGTTGGCTTCGTCTTGTGTTGCTAGTTTCCCCTCTGCGTCCACCTCTCCTTGTCTTAGCTAAGAAGAAGCTTATGATTTTACATTTTCTCTTACCACTTCATTTTCACTCCTCTCAATTACTAACAATTAGGGATCTCAAGGCTACACTGAATTATTTGGTGGGAAGCAGTTTATCCAACAAGGTATTTCTACTGTTTATTCAGTTTTCTAATTTAGTAGGAAACCAAATCTTGATCCTTTTGATACTCTATTCGATGAGTAGGCCCCAGAGGTCACATTCCCTTAAGGAACAATGGTACCCTTGAATTCTTTTAACATATTGCACTATTATTCATTCTTTTGGGGCTTAATGCTTCATTTTTCCTTAAGTTTAATGGCTTATGATGTGTTAAGAGGTTACACTGTTATTCAGCCTTTTATTCGGTGACATATAATTTGATAGGTGTCTTGTTATTCAGTCATGTATTGAACAATGGAGCATATGATCTTTATTTATCTTTTCTTAAATTCTTTTTCCTTCTTGCTCATTTTTACTCTGATTATCAATCAATTACTTGATGTATCTTGTCTACTATTGTTATTTGCATATTAGTTAGATTTTCACTGTTATAATCTGCAGGTGAATAGGTCCGGAAAGCTCAAGAATAATGCAACACATTACTCAGTTGATATCGAGTTACATGATTATCAATAAATAACATTCAATTGATATCTCAACAGAAACTTGTAACTACATTTTCTTCCATTCATGGTCACAGACCTAGGTCAGAAGTGGGTGTTGTAGTAGATTAGCAGCAGCAATCCGACTTTATGGTATCAACTACTCCTACGTTTCAATTTCCCCTTTTTTAGTCACTTTGATGCTTTTATTTTAGTATTTATTTGTTTATAATATAAACAACATACGATTTATATTTTATTTATTGGTGCAGTTTGCTTCCGGTGAAACCATGAGGAAATGCTTGAGCTCTTTATGTCTTCTTGGAACCTAACTTTTATCATTTCCATTATTTACAGCAAAACAAGATTAATAATTTGTTATTGGGTACTACTTTATGATATTCACTTATCAGGTTGAAGAGAAGGAATCACCAGATTAGATGGAGAAATAGTAGATGTTGCAGAAGAAGATACAGAGACAAATCCTCATGTACAGGAATCCAGAGTGATCTCTTTATCACAGATTCCAACTTTCACAAAGCCTGTCATTTTAAAATGCAAGGAGGTGATTAAAAAATACCCTGCACCACTTGGTATTCTTGGGTCATATGAACACATTTTTAGTTAGGTTAGTTTCTTCTTTAATTCTTATTTCTAGTTTCGGTAGTTTTCAAGCTTTTTTTATAGATATGGTTCTACTGAATTTCATATGTTGTGTGTATCAGAATCTTCCAGATGATGCATATAAGCTTCTTGTTGTGCCCTCTCCAATTGGTGGAGTTCTTGTAGTTTGTGCAACTACTATTCATTATCATAGCCAGTCAGCGTCGTGCATATTGGCTTTGAATAATTATGTTGTTCCCATGGATAGCAGTCAGGAGATGTCAAGATCACGTTTTAGTGTGGAGCTTGATGCTGCAAATGCAGTAGGGGTGTTTAAATGGCAAGGTATATGAATATTCTTCATTTTAAGCCATATATACAACATGCAATATAATAATATTTCATTTTTTGTTTTTAAAACTATGCAGAAAATAATCTTGTTTACTGTTGACACGTTGAAGCAAAAGTTGCGTTTTGTGCCCACTGCTTACAGTTGTTGCGACAGGTGGCACACTCTTATTCGTTGATCCATTATTTTTCACAATCTCATGTCACCTTGAACCCTTTTTTGCCTCCTCGACATTGTTTGTTACATCCTTGTTTCTTTTTCTTGGCCCATTATTCATATCCTTTCCTCCAGAACATGATGTCCATTTCATTAATGTCTTGATTTGTTTAGTCTTATGACTTGGATTTCTGAGGAACCAAAGTTTAGATGATGAAAAAACCGATCAAAATTAATAGAAAGGTTTGAAATCAGATTGCTTAGAATGACCAAAAGATTAGAAATCAGATTGCATGCAAGCTGTTTGATCAAATGCCCGAGAGAGATTACCTTATTTATATGTGATTACATTTCCCATTTTTTTAAAAATTTAGCAAGTGAAGTTTCATTTTACAATTAATCGAAAACAAAATCAACTGCATGGATTTTTATTAAATTTTTTTTTAAAAAATGTACGTTTTTCTTACCCGCCATAGACAGCTCGCATGTCCATGACATTCCTGACATTGGACCAGTTTATTCCTAAGTCGGTCATGTATGAGTTGGTAACCACACGTTTCCTGTGTTGATAGTCCACAGTGAAGTCCAGAATTGATCCTCAAATTTCATGTCCTTCCTCCTTTTTTATTAAAAGACCATAATACCCTCTTTTATGTATCTTGAAATAAATAATAATGAAAGGTTCTTTACGCATAAGTAAAATTTTGAAAATTATTAATTTTTTGTTGTATTTATTTTCATCTCCTACCAACCAAACACGTGACAGGTTATGATTCCTTTAAATTCCTATTCCTTTAACAAATTCCATTTCATCCAAAAACATTCTACAAACCACATGCCCCTTGGCCCTTACAAATAATTAGTTTATCACATGCTAACATTCTATATGTTAACTTATTCTTGTATAAGTATTAAATACATGTATTCCAATATCTCTGGCTTTTTGTTGCAGTATTACAGGTTCTACTTGGAGTGCCTCACAATTCCTATATTTTTTTTGTTGGATTTAATCTTCCCCAGGTGAATCTAAGTTCTCATATATTGCAACTAACATACTTGCAGTTTATATCATCGAAATCTAAACTGCATGCAAGGAATATGTATAGTGTTTTTTTTTGTTGTTATTGACTAGTTTACCCTTAAGTATCCTTTAATAAGATAATGTGAGTTAGTAGTTGCTAATGATTCAGATCTTTGTAATATCCTTTTGCAGGGCAGTTTGTTATACTGGGCAGCCAACAACTCCCTAACCCTTGTTCAGGTTGGTTTTAGCTTTCTAATATAGTGTTCCTTATGATGGAATCATGGCTCATTCCATCACAACAGAAAAAAAACTGTTTGTTTTGGGGGATATTCACATAAAAACCCTAAAGTTTTTCAGAAAAATACGGTTTTACCCTAACATCACTTTTTGGTGGGTTTAGAGGGTGCTGCTTTCCCATAAACACCAACCTCTGAACTCAACAACCAGATTACCAGATTACTACTTTGATACGGTTTGTACTTTGTTCAACTAAAATGCATGTTATTTTCTTAGGGTTTTCATTTTTATGGTTTTTTTCGCTAATGAATTGTTAATTCAGGTGGATTTAAGGTAATTAAATCTTATGTAAAATCTTTTTAATACATCTTCATGATTTCAAATAAATTAAATTTATATTACAAAAGTATATTTTTTACACTTATTGGACAGACTACAACTTTTAGCATTAGTATGTTTAAGGTTACATGTTTCAATAGCTTTTTGTGTGTGTGTACTCGTAATGACCCATTCTTGATTTCCTGTTTTTTTTTTTCAGAAAAATCTAGCTTCTTGGATGGCAAATTTCTGGAAGATAATTGTGCAGTATCATGGAAGAACGGGTCATGTGATTTAGATTATATGAGAAGTAGGAAGCGTGAAAAGTCAGACTACTCTTTCAAAATTTATCCATGTTTGTTATCATTTATGTGTTCATAGCTATACCTAAACATTCATGGCTTTGGTTGGTGTCTTGCAACAGGTTCTTATAATGGGTAAACCAGAATATGGACAGCAGCCCAGTACACCAGGTGGCAAACCAATGGTATGGAAGATTTTCTTTGGCATGATATCTGAAACAAGAAGGTGCCCCTTAATAGCAATGTAGTATTAGGTTATATAGTTAGGGAAAATATCTTACTACAATGTACAATTAGATCCCCTTAATATCAATGTATTACATTTTTTGACATGATGTTATTGGATAAAATTGATTGTTTTGGTATATATTTGTTTCTATATTTTTGTATTATGCGTAAATGAGTATCGTAAAGGCACGTCGTATATGCATATCGTAAATGGTTGCTGAAGTTTATGACACGCAAATGCGTGTCATCTTCATTTATGACAGGGATTTAATGATACGCAATGTGTGTCCTATAGGCGCGTTGTAAGGTTACGACACGCAAATGTGTGTCGTCTTCCTTTATGACACGACCTTCCTTGATACGCATTGCGTGTCATAAATGAGCGTCGTAAATGCGTGTCTTAAATGCGCGTTGTAAATAGACGACGCGTAAAAGCGTGTTGTCTCTCGTTATGACAGGGCCTTCCTTGACACGCATTTGCGCGTCGTCTGAGCGTTTTACGACACACATTGCGCGTCGTAAAAAGCTGTTTTTCTAGTAGTGATGATGTGTTGTGACTTCATTTGAGGCTTCCACACTATTGGGGCTAAGCTCTTTAAGGCCAAATTTATCAAGTTCTACAAGGTACACAAAGAGGTAAACTTCTAACTAGTATTTTATGTAGTTTATATCATTTGTATGCGAGTTGTAGGCTTAAAGCTTTGGAAACCATTTGTATGTATAATTAGTGAAAACATAGATCCAAAGCTTATAGGGTTGTATGTGCACCATATGATGTTGTAGTTTACAAAACCCAACAGTAAGACCATGTGGGGAACCCATGACATCCTGGAGTAAGACCCTGGGGGAACCCACGACATCCCTATATGTTGTATGCATGGCTTATATGGTTTATGTAACTTTTATAGCTAGTATGGATTATGTGATTATGTGGATTGTGTGGGCTATGCTCTTGGAAACTCACTAAGCATTAGCTTACAGTTTTTTGATTTGTTTCAGGTAATTTTGAGCCTAAGGGAAATGACAAGGCTTGATGGCACGGCATGCACTCTCCGACATTTGATTTGATGGGACACTCTGATGTTTGAAATAAAATGGTAATGTTATGAATTTTGAAAACAATAGTCATTGTTACTTCATATTTTATGGGAATGTTTGTTTAATTAAAAATGAAACATTTATTTGAAAATTTGGGTCGTTACATAAACCGCTTATGGGGTTCATTATTTTTGTCCATCCCATAACCATCTCAAGAGCCGAAATTTGGACTCTCCTCCCCTCTCCTAAAAGTCTTCTAATTACTAAGTTTTGGGTACAAACCATTAGAGGCACAAAATTTATGTTGATTTCTTTCTGAAGCTGTTCAAGAAGGAATGTTTGATTATTTACTCCAATAATCAATAAGTATATAAACCCTAAACCTCTTTATGAATTTCAAAAATTGTAGGGTATTCCTAGGGTTCTTGATGTTCATTTGTTTATTACAATCAATATAGAAAACTTAGATCCAATAGTTTGCATGTGAACTTAGGGTTAAGTTTTTTCTCCAAATATTTTTTTTGTAACCTATAAAACCTATCAGTGGTATAAGAGCCATAGTTTTAAATTGATCTTGCACAATGTTGAATAGATCGAAATTAGATTTTATAGAAATTAGACCCTAATGGAGAATTTTTTGACTTTTTGCTAGGGTTCTTGAAACCCTAGCCTCCACCCTTAGAATTTTCGAAATTCTCTAGGGTTCTTGAAACCCTAGCCCCCTAACCTTTTTTTTTTGAAAATTAGGGCACCCTTTTAGGGTTTATCTTGTTTTTAATTGTTTTTTTAAAAGCCTTAAAATTTGAATAATTAAAACATGATAAACCAAAGCCCTATTTTTGAAAATTAAGGGGTTTCGGATTAGGATTAAATTTGAATTATTTTATTAATTGGTTAGTTGTAAGTAATTATTTAATCCATAATTATTTAACTATTTTAATTAATTGTTTAATTAAAAGATAAAGATAAATCATAACTGGTTTAATATTAATTAATTAAAAGATTTAAATTTAAATAATTAATATTTAAACCTCATATTTTGAAAATTTTAAAATACACTTTATATATATATATATATATATATATATATATATATGTATATTATTAAAAGTTAATTACTATATGTACAAGAAAAGTCAGTCAAATCAATAGTAGGCTTCATTCACAAAACCATGCTATAAATAGGGTATAAGAAAGTGGTCTATAAAATGGTCGTTCAATGGGTGTCCACTCTCAACCACTGCTCTCCTGTATGGTGTAGGGTCGTTAGCCAAACGAGTTTGATAGAACATAATCTCATTAAAAACTATAGTGAGATAAAATTACGAGAACCTTCTTTTAAAAATCCCACTCTAGCTAATTTAGGAAAAGAGTGAAAGTTATGCCAATCCATGAAAACGAACATCATACTTTAATATGTCGTTTGTGGAGTGTGTGTGGTTAACCGACACACTAATAGGGACATTAAAGAGAAATGATAGGCATCTACAAAATTATCATTGTTAATGGAGTGTGTGTGGTTAACCGAGACATTAATTGGAGATGATAAATGACATGGAGGGTGCCATACGAGTTTGCATGGTTATTCACATATTGTTTGTGATCCTCGACATCCCAGTCACAAAAGTGATTGCATAATCCGATATTAAACATGTCATTGATAAGATTCAGTGAATCTCAAAAAGTTCTACGAGTTTTATAAGATTGAATTTGGTAAAAGCCTTACGTATCTAAAATAGATTCGAATTTGATTATGGCATCCCTCTTCAAAGTTCAAATCGAACATATGGATCCTAGCCTTAATTTAAATTTTGGGTTAATAATTAAGGATTAAAATCAACTAACTTGAATTCTATTTTCTCCAATTTTAGATGTCTTATGAAGATAAAAATTGTCTTCCTCGTTCTTTTCGAAATGATTTTCCTTTTCCTTCTAAAGATGATCTTCCACATTCTGATCAATGTGAAAATGTTATCCATTCTCCAGGAATTGGTGGAACTTGATATCATGGTTCTTCAAATCTTCCACCTCCTCCTCATGTGACTCTCCTAACGTCACGTTTTCCTCAAGTTGAAAGATATGAGACAACTCAAGCCCTATTGGCATGTAGACATCAAGATGGAAATTTTATGTGTGCACATGGTCTACAAATGAAATCGTACATTGATGAGTTGGATAGAATAGGTGTCATTTTACCAAGGGAGAAATTCATTGATTTACTGCTTCTTTCTCTTCCAAATTCATATGATCAGTTTATTGAGAACTTTTACATAAGGAATATCGACGTTACCCTAATTGATCTTACCCAAATGTTGATTGTTGTTAAAGCAGAAATGCTTAAGAACACATCTAAAACATAGATGTTTATTCATTATAATTCCACGGTTTCCATGGAAATTAACAATGGTGACAATGGTGGTCCATAAAAGATTTATCTTCCCAACAGAAAGGGGTCGTACAATATCAAATTGTTTGATCGTATATTATAGCACCAATTCCAGGTATTTTTTCTTTTCAACCCAAAAGTTTAAATTCCTTTCTAAATAGACCCTTACATTGGGCGTACATGGAGTATACTTCTATAGGATCCCATTTAGACGATCGACTAGGTGCCAAAGAAAAGGATTTTAAGATTTAATGATAACTATGTGAATAAAAAAACAGATGAGTAATCTGATGATTATAATAGAAAGAAAGGTTACCACTATAACTATGAAGAACACTTCGGTGGGACAGATCCCAGCTGAGAGTTTCTCTCTAACTAAAACAAAAGACTACATTTTGTGCACACGAAATAAAATGACCATCCCTCTCTATTTGTAGAGAGAGATACCCTACAAACAATAAAGGGTGATAAACTAACAGAACTTATCACTCATAATTTGTAGAGCATTTCCATGCTCCAACAATCTCTCCCTAAATGCTCGAAATGATGAGGGATACAAATACAGTGATAAAAGGATAAAATACATAGTAGCCAACTAGCAAGTGCGGTAATAAAAATGAAACATAATGAGAACCAAATGTTGAAATGTCTTTGAAACTATGAAGTGTTTGTTATGTCTGAAATTGGGTGATGAAATCTCTATAGTCAAAGTCTTCTATGCAACTAAGTCCATCATCCCATGTGTTGAAGAGTGAGATTCCAATCTATAGATGTGATCAGTAAACCAAGCTGATCAACTTCAAATGTGTACTAATAACTCTTGAACTGAACATCCCATAATCAATTTACACTTCGGCTTCAAAAGTATGAAACATATTTGGAATTCGAATCATAATATACTCAAAATTCTTCGAAAGAATAATCTGCTAAAAACATGAAAACATCCTGTGGTAGAGTTGGAATAATAAACAAATCTGGATGTAGGAATAGAAGGTACAGTGATCCGCAGGCAAGGATGAGACTTCAAACTTCAATCAGAACTATCATCATGGCGTCGTTTTGACTAAACTAGTAGATGATAATACAAGATCAATTAGCACCTCAAAATACGAAATAATCTCCTTTTCCTAGATATCTTCAAAATCTACACTCTGTAAAACATGATCAATAATCCGGATGCTCATAATATTCTCTCCCTATTTTTGATAACAATGGCCAGGATATCAACAATAAATACATCAATGAAGATGGAGAGTGTCAGATACCAAGAGCTTCGCATGCTCTCCCTAGATGTACGAAGGGTATCCATAAAACACGAGAATGTGAGTAAAATAGATACTTTCCGGTCATAAGTAATTGATTGAATCTGTTGCTGAAAACTGCTCGAACAAGTACCGTAGTAACAAATAAGAACTCTGCATGAAAAATATGTGCTCTGCTGAAAAATGGTGATGTACCCAAACTGCGGTGTCGGAACTCCTGAAGCGGTCTTCAATAAATAAAGTCCACTTGCTCAAGACACATGGTTCATCAACTGAAGATCAAGAGCGACAAGTCATAAGGGGTCTTCGTTGAGCGAAGATTGCGAAACAATTTTGTTGATCAGAAGTAACTGCAGTGCCAACTTCGTGAAGAGGAATATGATGTCCGAC